AGACAGGGACACAGATGGGGAAACAGGATGTCTGTGCTGGAGTCGGGGACTGGGGGCACAGACAGGCAGACAGATGGGGAAACACAGGATGTCTGTGCTGGAGTCGGGGGTCTGGGAGCAGAGAAACAGATATCAGCATACAGACAAGGAAACACAGGATGTCACTCTGCCGACTCAGGGATTTTTTCTGGCGCCATTCCAATGTTAGGCAGAGAGTCCTAACTTGTTGAGGCCTCATACCCAGCTGCTACAAGTACAGCAGTGTGGGTTTGAGGCCAACACCTACTGGGTTATTTCCTCAATGAGTCTAACACTGTTCTGCTCGTTAAGCTGATGTCACTAACTAATCCATAATGCCGATTCCCATTTGCATCGAGTGATTTAAATGACTGCAGAGGGTGAAAAGGAAAGAAGAAAAAACAAGAGAAAGCAAGAAGCCAGGAAACAAAAGCATGTCGCTTTGTAACATTAAAGGAAGTGTGCTCCACTTTCTTGGGGAGGCTAAATTTTAAGGATCTTGCTACCATGTGGGGGAGGGGGGTCCTTAAACAGCCCATGTCGGCTACCCGTGAGAGTCATTATAGCAGACGTTTAATTTACCCTGTCCTTGCGGAGCACCAAACGTAGTGGGACAGTGGGTGTTCACTCTAAATGTCAGACTGCTTTAAAGTGTATTTACACTCAAAATTTGATTTTCATAAAATTACAAATTCCTGAGATGGACTGGATGAGCCACCTTTGTAGTCTGGGATAGGTACACAGCACCCCCCCAACCCTGACAAGCATCAGCATCTGCAAGTTGGATGGATGGAATTTATTCATGTTTTATTTTGTTTCTCCAAGACTCACTAAGCTCTCCCTAACTTGGATGTTCAGCTACAAAGAGCAATGTGTTAATGAGGGATTTGACTGTATCTTCTAATAAGTCCACTAATCTCTGAGGATAAAGAAAGCAAAAAGGCACTATGAGAATAAGGGTCCGCTTTGATTGCAGTCCACAGAGTTGGACATTCAGTGGGAGCGTTGTATGGCTCAGAACTATTTCCCTGGGATCAGGGAAAATCCCAAGGAAATCCTGGTTCAAATCCCACAGTTGCCAGTGTCATTTCAAAGTTATAATAATAATAATAATAATAATAATAATAACGATGATGATGATGATGATGATGATGATAAGAGTCTCACCCCAATTCTGTCTCCAGAAGAACTCCAACGTCTTCTGAGCGGCGAAGTGCTTCTTCACAGAGTAGTGCACTCTCTGGATGAGCATGTTGGACAGGCCGGCCCGCTTCAGCAGGTAGGCCATGGTGGGGGAGTGACCAAAGGGGTCAACCGCCCAGCCGGATCGCGGCTTCACCCCTGGCAGGCACAAGCATCACCTTCACCGCAGGTGGCTGCATTTATACTATTAGCTAGACATCTCATTAATCCCAAAAGGAAACTGTAGGTTTTCAGTAGCACAACACACACATTCAGAAAGTAATAAAGAGTAAATAATTAATAATAAACAGTAACAGGGCAGACAATGTCACAGAAAGAATTATACGTAGTAAATAGAAAGAAACAGTACTGCACAGTGGGTTTTATAATGAATGAATGAATGTTCTGTGAATGTTAATGAGCAATAACCTAAAAAGGCAATCATGCTTCATTTAGAAGTATTTAAATACAAATGAAGAAAAAAAAAAACACAGGGAAAATTAGTGAGAACGCCAGCAGTAGTCAGGCTATATACGCTTAGCCGTCGGGCTATGACCTGCACCATCAGGACTACCCATGGATAAAAATGCTCAAAGGTTATTTGCATCAATTTAAATGTATAATGTAATCTACTTTTTATGGTAATGGAGAGGTCAGTCAGCCAGAAGCACTTGGAATTAACAAGAATGTAAAGAGACACCAGAAGTTCTCTGGAGTAGCTTCTTTTGGGAACGCATAGCAAGTAGGAAGCATCTACAACTCCAACTATGATTATGCCTGCCCCTCCCAAGAATCCAGCCGGATAACAGGAGTGTTACCAGGAGGTTGCGGGTTGTTAGTCCTTTTACAAACAGCAGGAATGACAGATAATAAACATCATAGATGAAAAGGTGAGGCAGGGGGCACCCTTCAGCTCAACAAACTATCCAACAAAGGAAGAGTACGCATCCCACACGGGTCCCATCTGCATTTTATTAGAGTGAGGCGAAAAGGAAAACGATTGCCATCAAAGGAGAACCAGCGGCATCTTCATAAAGTAAAAATTAAATTTATCGACTGGTGCAAGGTGCTCAGCATCCTGCCAGTGTTTGGCTGACTTCAGATCAATGACAGCTTCGTTTTACAAGCTTTGGTGCCACCAAAAACAGGGAATTGATTTTTTTTTATATGGTCAACTAAAAAATTGTATTAATAGCCTGTCATCAAACAGCATCACAATGCCTTTGTTTGGACTATTACAAGTCTGCCACCCCCTCCCCCCCCCCCCGAATTCCCATACAGCTTTCCTAAGATTTAAAGGTATTACATTAATTCCTTACAGTCATTAATGTGCTTAAGTGTATTGTAATTAATGCACCAATGCAGCACATATCATTATTGTACCTTGCAGGAAGGGGGTATACAAGTGAGACTTTGAGAAGGTGTAGGTGTGGGACTGTGGTGTGGTGCAGAGTGAATTCACCACCCCCCCCCCCATTTGGCATGCAGTTGTTCCTACCCAGATTCTTCTCCAGCCACTGGTGACCCTCCAGCAGCTGGTCGATTATGCCGAAGTAATGCGCGTTGGCCTCATCGGGCATGACCCAGCCCCCAGTGGCTATCTCCAGCTGGCCACGCTCTATCAGACTGAAAGAGACCAAAGGAGAGAGATTCACACTGAAGCAGGCCTGTTAGCTGCTCACATTTAGCTCACCCATCCAGACGTGTAAGGGATTCTCAGGTTTCCACGGAAAACATTTATGACATCATAAATTTCATTTACACATACCCTAAAGCTGCACACACCTTATATCTGTCTGTCTCACATTATATCTATTTGATTATTCATTAATTACACATTTTTATGTCTATTTATACCTCTTACTTTCATTCAATTTATTATTATTTTGTTGTCTTGATGGTATGTGAAACTGTATGCAATTGTACTCTGTGAATAACAGCATTCTGGTTCACAGTCTCTGAAAGAGCAATTCAACCAGTACTAACCAAGATGATGTGGTTTACGTGAAGGGGACAAATTCAAAGTGAGCTACTGTCCTTTCAAAAAACAGTGACATCTCTGTTAATGTTTGGTATCCAGAGTGACTTTCAAACTTGTATGAAAACGTCAGAATATGCTCAACTCATGCTTGTGTGGAGGAAGGCGTGAGGAAAGGATAAAAATTGCTATAGCAGTGATTCACAGCAGAGACAAAACAGCTTGATTGAAAGCATCCAGGAAAACCGGCAAACTTTAATTTACTGTGACAGAGATGCTGACTCAACAACCTTGAACATTGCTAGACGTAACATCCATTTTCTATTTCAGTCATAAAAACTCTAACCAGGACATCCCACAATACTGAAATATTTCCCACACATGACAGAGCGAAAGCTTGACATGCTAGAAATAAACTCTGTATCAGTCATCACATTTTGAGATTTGTTTACACAAGAATCATTCTGATGACATAACTGACTTTTTTTTTTATGGACCATAATTTCACTTCTTTCACTGGTGTTCTACATAGTCTTACTAGCTGCTTTTATTGCCATTTTATATTATATTACTATGTCTTCTTTGTTCTCTGTTTTAGTTCTTTTTTTTTTTGTACTGTGTAGCATATTGGGGGGTAAGAAACGAATGATAAAGAAAATATTACAAATTAATAAATAGAAGGACAAGGAAAAGACCACCACCACCATTATTATTTTTATTATTACTATCGTGTGTAATTCAGCATGTTCCAGCACTTCACTTGAAAATGCTGATGGTGCAGTCAGACTGAGGATGCACGTCAATAAGCATTGAGGCACCCTGCCTCAGTGTCAGCCCAACACCCCTACAGCTGGGGGCTCGATTTGATTCCCAGCCATGGCTCCTCGTGTCCAGTTTGCATAAATAACTCTGGGTGTCCTCCCTCTCTAGGCTGCCCATAGCAGGACACACTGCTCTGCAATGGATTGCCGTGATGTTACGGTATCCACAACCTTGGGGTATTCCCACAGTAATCTCAGGGTATTCCCAACCTTGTGCCATGTAGTTTCCAGCACAGACTCCAGGCTCACCAAAGCCCAGCACTGGATAACTGATTAACCCAAAGATTCTATAGTTTATACTAACGGCATTTTTTTGTGATGTCAAAACGAAGTTACTTCCTAGGAATTTCCATCCTTTATAGCAGTAGCATAGTATACAAATGATAAACTAGGTAGAAGTGTTGCAAAACAGAAAACAAATGAGGAGAATCATTGATACTTGCATCAAAAACATTAGCAATGAGCAGAATATACATTAGCCTGGTCTGTATTCATTGATCTCAGTGTAGCTTAACAAAATAAAATGAAATGACATTTTCTGAAGTGCCATATTAACCAGCAATGGTTGATTAATAAAAGTACTTTAAAGATTAAACCATGGACATATTAATTGAGGCAAAGGTCTGGTCTGCAGTTTACTAAAAATCAACTTACTCAGAGCCACTCACTACCCAATGCCCAGTCCTAGTAATCAATCCCAGAAAGGATAAAAGCCCTCTGGGCTTAGGGGAAGATGTCAATGACTTTTAGGATTTAGACATTACCACATAAATGATCTGGTACTAAATCAGCCCGAAAGCATCTTTTAAATGTGGACATTAATAGGATACATGTTCTTTAATAGACAAAATATATCAACGGTCCTGGCTAAAAATGTAAAGTCATAAAATTTAAAAAGCAATCACAGCACACATTACCAGAAAGTGATGATTTCAGAAGCTGACAGCATGCCAGATTTCTCCAAAATTAAACAGTCACACTACATAATGGAAGAAAGTAATAAAATTATGTTAAAAGTGCTTTTTATCATATCATTCGCAGCTATATGAACAGGGTTATTGGTCCTCAAGCCTGCAAATTTGTGGATTTGAAGTAAAAAGCCTTAAGTGCGCCAACTGCAAACCTCATTAACCGCAAAGCTAAGTCACATAATATTTTGGTGTTTGTGCTTATGGTCCAAACATAGATCATAAAATTGCCTGTGACCCCAGCATGACACCCCTCTTAATGTTCCATCTCAACACATACCTAAGACCCAAAAATTATCGATTAAGCAGGTGATTAAAGTGTCACGTTTAAAAACTTTTACCTATAATATTTTAAGGTGACAATTTTAATTGTCTGTTCATGTGCAAGCCTAAGCTGAAATTAACATATTAAAATTAAAATGTTGCTCTGGCATTCCTACTTTAATCACCCAAGACACAGTGGAACAAAAGTTCAAATACTTTAATACTTTAAAAACTTGCAGACTCATTGCTTTCAAAAATCATTTTTCACAAACAAGCCTTAACTTATGCTGCTGTTGTGTGATCCCTCATACAATTTTAAAATATATTTTTGTGTGAATGACCTTGGGGACACCCCCTTGCAGGGCACTAACATTCTAGTGTCAATTCGCGAGACGCCCTGGTCTCGGTGCAGCACGATGCAGTGAGTGGGAGGGCCCAGTTGGGGGCAAACTTCTGCCCTCTGACCCCTACTGACTTACAGTGGAAACTCAAGGCAAAGCAGGAAATGTTGGAAACAGATGGCAAAAACCTATTTTCCCCCTCCCCCACTCCCTCCAATTTATAGTTTTACAAAGTTAAAAATTTACATACCATGTGTAACAACCTAAACAAATTTTACATGTCAATCTGAAACAGAAATGTACTATTTGGGCTCGTCATTCGGAGAAGTCACGGCTGGGTGTGAGTCAGTTTTCCAAAGCGGGTCATGTCTGATTTATTTACAGGTAATTTATTTACAGATAAGGGGAAACCAGCATGCAGTGGCATGAATTACACTTTTATATATTCATATACAGTGGTACCTCAGAGCTCAAACTTAATTCATTCAGAACTCTGGATCGAATCCTAAAAAGTTCGAGTTGTGATCGAATTTTCCCCATAAGAAATAATGGAAAACCAATTAATTGGTCCCCGGCCCCAAAAAAATACACCTAAATATGTTTTTTTTAGCATTTAAACGCAAAATGAACCAGATAAAACAAGAAGAGCATAAACTGTACTAAACACATCTAAGAACATTTATCAAAACAGTAAATTGTAAAGAAAGAAAATAAAGGCATCCAAACAATGTGTAAAGTTTAAAAAAACAATGTGTCCTGCCCCTCGTTCCGTGTGCCACGCCCCCTTGTTAACCCCGTGTGATCAGTTGTTTCAGGTTGTTTTCATTAGCCCAGTTTGTTTCCCCAGTCTGGTCATTGTATTGTCCATCTGCGTTTTGCCTGCCTTACCTGTAATTAAACCCTGTACCCAATACCCTGATATGTGCGCCTTTGTCTCCATTCCGTACCCACTCGGCACGACAATATCATAATTAAATGTATTAATGGTTTATTATTAATATTACAATAATGAATAAGAAATCTTTATTTTTAAATGTACTTTATTATATAATATTCACTGTTACTGTCTATCATTGTCTAAATGTATTTTTACTGTCTAAATATATGTATTCAGCTAGTGTAAACATGCACGATGCTATCACAGTGAAGGTGAGACTGAGACTGAAGCTTTACCTTTTGTTTCCGCTGACAAACGTGCCACGTGACTCATTTCCCCGCACGTACAAGTTCTTAGGTCGGCGTTCACGGTTTGACTTAAGAGATTCAGATCGAGCTCTAGGTATTTTTTTTTTTTTTCGAACTGGTTGGTTTGACTTTTAAGAAATTCGAGTTCTAATGAGTTTGAGAACTGAGGTACCACTGTATATATACACAACTAAAGGAATAAAACAGCCCATAGGCACAGGATGCATCTCATAGCCTGAATAAAGTGACATAACTGTGGCAGAGGGATTCATTTCGGGAATCCAATTAAATCTGTGAAGTTGGCAGGGGGGGCAGGAAAAAGCCCCCACTTTTGATAGTCCCATTACATTTTCACACGTTACTCTGCATTTTTTTATTTATGTAGCAGATTCTTTTATCCATGATTGAGAAATCAAGAAAAGATTCAGAAAGCAGGGTCAGCCAGTCCCTGGAGCAAATGGGGGTTAAGGCCCCAATGATGAAGTCCTGCCAATCCTGAGATTCAAACCGGCAACCTTCCGCTCACAAGCACATGTGAAACACACAGTTGAGCCTGCTGAACCACATATCACCCTGCCTTTAGGGTCAAGTGACCTCCCTTCCCACCCTTAAATAAATGTTTGGCATGCATGCAACATTATTTAAATTGATCCTCATAACATGGATGACATGCAGTCAGCCGCATAGGACACCTAGGAGGAAGCCTGTGTGTCTGACGGCATTTTAAAGAAATTAAACAAAAACTCAATTTGGGGTTCTAAGTCTCAGAACAGCTTTTATGTCTAATTACTTACTCACAAAAGACATTGACGGTAAACTGGTCTTTTCCCGATGCATCTAATCTTGCTTTGATTACTCCACATTCAATAAAAATACTCCTTGTGGCCCCGTCAGGAAAGCAGCGGGCCCCAAACCCGGTGCTGGGACACTCTGCGTCTGGCCGCCATTTCCAGCCGACCCAACGATGAGTCAGGGGCGGGGCCACAGGGACAATGGTCCAAGCTAAAAGCCGAGTGGCACCTCCCCTGTCACTCCCCAATTCTAAACACATCATTGGTTCATTTATGACCCCACCTTAAACTTTATTTGAAACATGAGGGCTGTGTGTACACCATGCTACGCAGTCAGGTGTGGAGAGACTGCATTTTTATATTTACTCAGATTAACTAACACACACACACACACCCTATTGGGGCCCCTGCACGAGGAGAGAGCCGGTCTGCATGCTTCTCTTTTCAGAGACGACTTACTTCGTTTGAAGGAACTAAGGTGCCGTGGAACAATCCACCATTGTGATAGGCAAATCAACCTTTAAGGCGAAGCATATGGGACACTTTTCTGGGACGCAGAAAACAAACATCAGGGGGAGGATTTGATAAAGAATTAGTGTGAGCCATTGGGAGGGCGGGCACAGATGACGCCTTGACGGCTTCGGCTCCCATGGTCTGGAAGCAATGCTTGCTATCAGGCTGCGTGGGGTATTTTACTCAGATGGGGAAATTTCGGGGGTGGTGGTGAATGACAGGGACCTTGTGGGGATTTTTTGCCAGGAGTACCATTTCTGGAACGGTACTCCATACCTTTCCATACTCCCGAAACAGGCTGCTCCGTACCTTTCCATACACCGTTACACAACCCACCCACTGACTCTATCCAAGTAAAGCGGGCACTACTGTATATATTTCGTAGACTTTTATCCAAAGTGATGTCGATTTTTTTGAGAGAGCAGGGTCCCTCCCACCAATCAGCTCACATGCTAGGCGAGATGCCTTCAGTTGTGTGCTTTGGGCAGTCCTTGTCTTGTTTTCATTGAATTTATTTAGCAGAAGCTTCTATTTAAACTGGCATGAAACTGAAAATGCTTGATCAGCCAATTGGGGCTAGGAGCCAACACCCTGTTTTTACAAATAAACATCAGCACTAACCAGGGCCCAGAATATCCACTTTCCTATGTCGTTGGTGCTAACATGCACCACGACCACTGGATCCACCCCGGCTGGGGCCAAAAGCCTGTCCACTTGATTTGGAAGGTCCCCTACCTGGACACCAGGCAGGCAAGACACCGTACGGGATGCTCTATCACAGGTGCACACATAACTATCTACACCTCTGATAATTGAATCCCCTCGAGTTGCTCCTCGAGGTCACGAACCTGGACCATGAGTGGGTCCACTAACTTGCATCGCTCGCAGACAAAGTCCGACTGGACGCAAGCATCCAGAAGGGCAAACATCTTGCAAACACAACACTGAGCTGGCCCCATAATTACCTAACTCACTATGGCCTCATCCTTTACTCCCAGCCCAGTATATTAATATAATATTATTAATATTATATTAATAATATTAATATAATAGCAAAGCTCAGAACAACTGTCCTTTCCGAGTTAATGTTACCGACGTTAGATAATATTACTTCGCTGTTTGTAGCGAAGGTAGGCAGACAGAAACGCCGCTCGCGCAACGCCTGCAGCTATCGATAACACTCACGCTGTCAATTAACAAGGACAGACAAGTACTCACGTAGACAGAGAAAAAAAATATAAAAGTTAAAAGTGAAACAACAGCCACCCACGTAACCGTACTGGCACACAAACACTCAAATATACTTCCAGATAATTCCAGTCAACCGCTTCAACAGGCTCACAACACAAGTGCACACAGCGGCTACACCACTCCAGCACAGTGCAGCAATCCCAGCAGCCTCAACAGCAATCCCAGAAATCTCAGTGAGATAACCTCTTCCCCTTTTTATGACACCATGCATGCAACTCCACACATTCAGGTTGATAACCTATAACCACCTGTATCCCGCTTCCTCCCAATCATAACGGCAAGGCCATGCCCAGACAAGGGAGTGAAATGAAGCCAGACGCCATCGATCATCAATAGGAGGGAATACGCACACCAGTCTGGGCAGGTAAACCGATAACAGCCTCAGCGAAGCCCAAGCGAACAGCTTCGCCTCAGTGCTTTGGCCCATTAATATTTGATAAAGCAATTTAAACTGATGTGCTTATTCAGAAGTGCTCCTTTAATCCTTGGACTAGAAAAGAAATAGGAGGGTATTAAATTTGTCTGTCATTTTTTAATGGAAAAAAAGAATGTATGTCTTTTACTAATGAAATAAAAACTAAATCAGATCAAAAAATACATTATACTTATTCACAAGCACAAACAAAATACATTTCGACCATTTAAATAGCAGAATGTGGCTTGAAGTATACTTTGGCCTGGGGCAATCTGTGCCCTATCCCAGAGTGTGACAAAAAGCCCTTGGCGTCATAAACCAAGCGTTCCTGTCTGATGAAACTCAAACAGGATAGCCCTTCAGTGAGTTGGGTGTTAAACTTGGTTTTATAGTGATCTAACCCTGAGATATGTCTCATCAACACCCTGCTGGTGCAACATGAATGCTAGGATTAGAGAAAGTTCCCACCGAAAGAGACGGCAGAGCTCAGATCATCGCTCAATCCCTCCTTATATCTGCAACAGTGAGGCAGAGTGGAACTGGGGAGACCTGGAGTCTGTCCCAGGCTGGGGGGGGGACACCCTAGATGGGATGCCAGACCATTGTTCAACAAATCACACTACGGCTAATTCAGAGACACTGGTTAGCCAAACCAGATGTGACTGAACTGCAGGAGGAATCCCACATAAAAGAGGGAGAATAAGCAACTTCTACACAGAGGGAGATGGGACCCAAAGCCCTGGCCCTGGAGTGTGAGTGAGCTTCCACTGAATGGCAACTGCATCACATATTCATTCCTGATTTCTCGTCTTATTTCTCATCACACTGCCATTTGCCAGTCCTCTATCGCACTGGATGTCTGTCCTATGGCCCAATGCACCGGTCCCCTCCCTTGTGTTCCTCAAACACGTGACAATAAAAACTTGAAACCTGATGGAAAATGTGACTGGATGTAGCAATACTTCAGTGAGTCTTACACGAGGTCAGAGGACACGGAAAAGGAAAAGGTCACCTTCGGACGGCATCCCTCTTCTGTACGTCGATGTTCTCCCACCACTTGGAGAAGTAGGAGATCTCGGACCACAGCATCTTACGCCGCACGTCCTCATGTAGCTTCACCACCATGTTGTTGAGGATGTGCTGAGTCTGGTCCCTGTAGTAGTCATCAAACGTCTTCAGCCAGCCTGTAAAAGCAACCGGCCGTTAATCTCCGCTCCCCCCTTCACATCGCCGCTGCTTTCTCCTGTGTGATTAATACAGCCAGGCTCAGCCAGATAAACTGCTGCTGTACATGCACAGCATCGGGGGGATATACACACACACACAGCACAAAATCAGACACTGATCAAGGTCAAGTGGGGGGGGGGGCGCGCACCACACAAAACACAGCTGGCAAACAACTTCATAGAGCCATATTTCGTAACAAGTAAAAAAAATAAGCAGGGCAGCCTCAGGGCTGTATCACTTCAGGATTTACCAAAAGACATGTTTTTGAAATAATATAGGGGGAGTGAATATCTGCATTCCTGCTACCCAAGAGCAAGTGATTTCACCTTCAGAAAGAGGAGTTCTGCAGAGACAAAGAGGTTCATACTCCACAGACCACAGAAAACCATGCAGAGAGAATCAGCAGCTCTTACTGATCAATGGCAGGGAAACACTAACAAACAGGAAGAAACTTCTCATTCATATTTAATATCAATATTCATTAATATTAATAGTCATTCTGCAGTTTGAGTCCCACACCTACTGTGCGCATGTGTGTGTGTGTGTGGGGGGGGGGGCACGGCACACTGAAAGCGAGAGAAATATGTGTTTATTCATATTGTGAAGAACATCAGACTACAACCACTTTCAGGTGTTCAAAATGGTGGTTTTGTGGACCCAGGTGGACAACAAGACCCCTAACAAAACTTACAGCAAAGGCACTGAGAACTTTCTGTGACTGTTTCACAGGAATGGATGGCCAATACTATGCTTGAGCAACGGTTTTATTAGAGGACAAACTGCTGGAAGAAACTACGGCACCCAGAATCCTTAGTACCAAAGCAAAGCCAAACACAATCCACATCAAGGCAATGGAGACAGAGACCAGGAGCTGGAGGGAGGCAGCAAAACTCCAGAATCCTGATTCTCTTCTAATGTCACAACAAAATTTCAAGGGAATCCCCACACATTCAAACCCATGTCATAAGCCACTATTTAACTCCTGCAATACCCTAGTGGACAAAGGTAATAATGGTAAGTGCAGGCTTTTGGCTGAGGTAGGGTTACCGTTAAACCAGTCAGACCGCTGTTGGTTAAAGCAGAAGTAAAATGTGTGAATGTGGGTCAAAACAAACTGGCACAGTCTTTGCAAACGACTGTACTTAATGAGGTAGCTATGCTGCTTAGCTACCAATAGCAGTTCGTTAAAATTACAGTAAGTGTCGAGTTCGAGGTCCTGGCTTCCTGTCCACTTCCCCCTTTTCCTTCCTCTCTCAGCCAGGAAACTCTGGGCGATGTTTTCTGATGTGACCCGGGTGAGGCAGGCAAAAGATCCACCCCCAAATTGGTTATTTATCTGAAATTAAAACCTCATGTCCCTTGCTGCGGGATTCAGAAGGAAGTTCATTATTTAAACACTTTTAAACTTGCTGGGAGAGAAAGGGGGTAAATTGTCATTGTGAGGAAGCTTCCCACCCACTCTGTCTGTTTGGCTTAAAGTTTTTTAAAAAATTA